ATAGTCAAGGGTAATAGATTTGGGAACTTTTAGTGTTCCAGGAACCGATATGATATCAATCAAATGAACATGGTTTAACAATGGTAGTCAACAGCAATAACCATTTAAAGTAGTTAACTCCTAAGACAACAGGTCAAGTGTGCTGCCAAACACATTGACATTAAGTTATATGTTGTAAAGGAGAAAATCCAAAATCATTTTGAAAGCATTGAGCATATAAGTACCAATCAAGTACTTACGGATCCGCTTACCAAAGGCTAACCACCCAGTGCGTTCAGAGAACACACAGTCGATATGGGTTTACAGGAAAGCCTATGATTTCTGGATACTAAGGGCCTGGTTGAGAATCTGTTTCAAAATAGAGAGGTGCACTGTAGCTGTTTAATCTAATGGCAACTGACCGTGACGATGAGGCACGCTCTATGCACTGATCTGCGATGGAATGGGAAAAAGATAAAGTAAGTTAAGATTAAATCATAAGGTGATATCAAGGGGGAGAATGTTAGATTGATCTCCACTAGTTGGCCCAATGGCCAGTTGGGCCCTTGATCCATGCCCTGATCAGGGGCGCCCAGCCGTTCTCCTGGCTGATGAGCCCCCGTCGCACAGTGCTATAAAGAGGAAGGTGTGGGCCGGGGTGCAAGGTACAAGGTTTACCGTAGCCACCAGCGCCCCACCGAGGTTCATAGCCATAGTCCGATCTAGAAGGGCGCTATAAGCGGCGGAAAGTCCACACCGCCTTCACCGTCGCCAATGGTCCGCGCCTACGCTGCTGCTACCATCGACGACCTAGCGGGCGCCTGCACGGCTTCCCCTACACCGACACGTCGCGGCCACCTTAGTGGCGGTGCCACGGCCGTGATTGCACTCGACAAGGTACATTACCAAGTTTGTTTATCTAAGTTAAGAATTTTCTCACTGAAACAACCAGTTATTCATCAGGTAGGACAAATATACACAGCTCAACTATATATATTCATATGATGATCCAGCATGCATGCATGTATCATGCAATAATGAGACAAGAAGCGAACTGCAGCATCCACATGAACGGCTACTGACAGCGAATATTATGTGTACGGGCTGTGGACGTACCTCAGTCACTGCATAAACAGAGATTAAAGATTGTACTTATATTAGGCTAGGCCAACAGAGAGGACGACCAAGAGGCAAGAGGCAGTCAGGCAGGCATGTATATATCTGAAGTTCTGAACGCAGGTATCGACACAGCAGGAAATAAGGGTAAACTAGTACGTTTGGTGGCCGGTGGTGGGACGACAAAGTAGACGGAATTACTTGAATGGATGAATGAATGTTGTGTGTGTGTGTATATATATATATATATTTTCAGCTAGTAGCGCTGCAGAGACGGATCGATCATCAGTACATAAACATATATGTAGCTGTAGCTAGTCACATGCATGTGGATGCATTTAGTCAGATCAGACAAACAGCCTTTTCCTTGATTAGTTTCTGGACTGATAAGCCCAACTGATGGTTTGTTGTGACATACTGGTTTATTGTGAGAGAAAAATATTATATCAAAGCTAATAAGCCCTGACTGAAACTAACAAGCGAACCGGCTGACAAACACACATCGCACAAGCATCAGCTTTATTATGACCCCAGCGAGTAGCTTCTAGATAAAAGTCCATATGCCTCGATCAACTGATCAAGCACGGCCGGACACTCATTAATAATAAGCATCTAGCCATCACCTTTATTATTTATCATGACGATCAATGAGATCATGCATGTGCTGATTGATCAGCCAACAGGGAGAAGATATTATATATCATTCTCTCTCATACAATACTATTAATTAGCAAGGACAACATAACACAATAATATATAATAAAGCTATACATACATACACGTACATACATACACACATACCTAGCAGAGCCGACCAACGTTGCTACTCCCGGTGGTTGAGTAGTGCAAGTCTCACTCACCATCTACATCTATATCGATCTCTCTTCTCTTTCGATATGATCGTCATGCATTGTTCACCTATAAATTGTTCTCGATTGCCCCCCAAATAAACTAGCTAATTCTCGACCCTTCTTGATTTTTTTGGAAAGAATTCTAGTTTACCATCTCTTATCTTAATTAGCTTCCAGCTGAACACACTATCAATATTTTAAATTTTATGGTTCATCAGCCTATTCCAATGTAATATAACTCACAAAAACTCTCTCCAAGGCTAAGCCAACATGAAACTTACAAATATATATCCTGTTGGTTTATTCGACATATATAATTTAACTTTTATACACTTACAAAACTCACTAAAAAACTAATCCATCCATAAAAGAAATGCTAAACTGCTAATCATGCATGGCCGCCTCGATCAATCTCATTTGTGATTATAATGTTATCGATATTGGTTCCTTCCTCTAAGAAATTTAGGCCAGGTAGTTTAATTGTATTGCATTGTGCTCCGTTTGTCTAAAATTTTAAACATTTTCCTAAGAAATTTCAGATTGATTTGGTCACAAGAACAATATCCAACTTTATATAACATTATAAGAAAGAAACATATAATAATAACTCGAGTTTTTGGCACTACACGTCTAATATTTCTTTCCACTAAGCGCTAGTGGGGGATACAATAATTAAAAGGAATGATTTGGTCACAAGAGTGGCATTTCTGCAACTAGATGTCAACCTCATTCTCTATTGAATGGACCCTCACTAGCTGGGCGAGAGTTCATTAATTGTGCAATCAATGTATAGTAAAAGAGTAGTAAATCAAATGGCTAAGCCTTTAAATAAATCATTATGGAAGATCAAATTACCTATAGAAGTCTAGATATTTACTTGGTTCTTACTAAAAGAGGTGATTTTAACAAAAGATAATGTCCTAAAACGAAATTGGAGGGGTACGGTGATGAAAAGTGTGGTTTAATATAGGCTTTGTGCTTAGTTTCTATTAGTCTTATTCGGTCTCTCCACTTTTATGCTTTTTGAAAGCTTCTCTTCTTCATTAGTAGGAGGCTAATAAAACTTTGTAATACTAATAGATAGTTGAGTGCAAATCTCTTGCTGCTGGAATAAAGAATTCCCTTTTCCAAAAAAAAATCAGATAGATCGATTAAGGGACAAAAGAAATAACCTTGGGCTTTACCTATTAATTAGCTGTTGTTGCCTTTTTCAACGTACATGTCGTTTGGGAATTCTTCCAGTTAACTATTGCATGCAGCTAACTAACTGGTGCATGCATGCATGCGCATGGATTTGTTGCTGCTTAGCTTATAATCTGGTGCCTCACATTACATTGGTGATGTGCATCTTGGTAAGATCCACAAGTGATAATTCTTTATGTTATGATTACTGACCGATTAGTAAATGATAGAGAATATCTGTGCTACACTACATAAAGTAGTCTGTGACACTATGGGTTCCGTCTTATTTTAGAAGTCAAAACTTTTATTATTTTATTTAAATAAAACTTCCTTTTCACCTAAAAAAGCACTAGAAAATTAGCCAGAGAATTCAACTCCTAATAATTAGTCAAACACAGACCAAACGCATATACTGGAATCCCGTTGAATTCTGCAAATGCTATGGAGCCCATAGCTCTGTACTAGCTAGCTCTCTCAAGTATTGGTTGGTCCACTTAATATCCCTGGCAAACCAGGTAATGATTATCAATAATATGTATGTTTTTTTAAAACATGATTACTTGACGTCTTTTTTATAGTTTGCGTCAGAGAACATTGGATACTTGTGCCTGCTGAATCACCAAGTTTCATTTGTTAGACCAACTGGGTGACCCACCAAAGCTTGATAAAATGGACTGAAATGGCACACAACATGATTAATTAAGGGAGAGATTGGAACTAAGGACATTCTCAGTGAGAGTTTCATAACGTTATTTCCAAGAATATAGAATGCAATAAAACATGGATAAAACCATCACTCTAAATGCATTGTTTCATTCTTTTGTTTCATAGATAGACATTTAATTCTATGATTCATCTTGACTTGGTAAATCAAGACAAGAGAGTTTCATCCCATGAAACTCAGTTCTTCTTTCTTTTCTTAAAGCATTGCCACATCATAAAAAATACTTATATACGTGGCAACCTATTAAATATAAATAAAACTTACACTGAGAACGGCCTAATAATAAACTTCTCATAACGAACAGGAACAAACAGCTTCGACATCATCACAAGCTGGAGCTTTCAACTACTGAATCCGGTCTTCATGTATGCTGAGAGTCCTCACACTCCTGATGCCACTATTCTCTTCAGCACTGAGCATATATAGAGGACTAGCCGGATGATAAAATACCAGTGAATATATATAGAGGACTAGCCAGACGTACAAGATTGGTAAGCAGCGCATGCAGCATCTAATCAACTCAAATTGAATAATTTAATGATCAGGACCAACTTGTAGCTAGTATATATACATTACAAAAGCTTTGTTTACAAGGAAGGAAGAAAGACCATTCCATGCTGCACGCATATCTATATATAAACAAATCTACTACTTCAGTGCCAGTAAACCAATTACTAAATGAGATGCCTGCTAGCTTAATAGCGAGACAGAGATAGGTACACATGCATACACCTAACACAGACAAGAGCACTGTGCACCAACTTTATTTATTATATATATCTGAATTGAACTAAATTAAAACCAGCTGAGACGAAAACGGGTACACGCAACCATCAATACCTAAACAGCAGGCTTGAGAAGACTTGTCATCTACTCATACAAATTACTGACCTCCGTCATCAGCATCATCTTCTCTCTCTTCTCTTCTCTTCTCCTCTCCTCTCCCTTTATTTTCTAGCTTCCTCATTCCATCTCCAATTTTCTTTGTCCGTGATCTAGCTAGTAGATATCATCAGTTGCATATGTACGTCTCTCTAGAGTCTAGAGTCTAGAGTCTAGATCAATAGAATTGAGACTACTGCAAGTTTGCAGCAACAGATAGATCGATAGCTCTCTCAATCACATTGAACTCCTCCACCGCCACCGCCATGGATCAAATAAGCAAGTACTGGGACATGTGGGGAGCAAGCAGCAGCAGCACCACGAGCCCCATCTCTGCTTGGGTGGCGGCGTACGGTGGCAGCAGCGAGCCGTCGTGGGAGGAGCAGGCCTTTGCGCGGGACGCGGCGGCGCACCTCGGCGGCTGCGTGTGGCCGCCGCGCTCCTACTCGTGCACCTTCTGCCAGCGCGAGTTCCGGTCGGCGCAGGCGCTCGGTGGGCACATGAACGTCCACCGCCGTGACCGGGCTCTTCTCCGGCAGGGGGGCTCGTCCTCCCCCGAAGACGTGCACGCCCCCAACGACGATCAGTCACACCCACAGCAAGGTGCTCTCCTGTACAGGGCAGCAGCAGCCTCTAACCCTAGCACCACTACCACGCCGATTACTACTGTAGCTGCAGGTACTACTACTGCCGGCTCAGCAGCAGCCATGGGCCAGGATGGGGATGCCAACACCAACACCACCACTCCTCCTACTTCCTACTTATCAACAATTATCAAGGAGAGCAGGAACAAGCTCTTCATGCCCATGCCAGATCACTCTGTGGCGGAGATGAGAGAACATCAGGCGGCCATAGATGATCATCAGTGTGATCGTCATGACGATGGCGACGGCGTGCAGTCAGCCAGGAAAAAGAGGAGGCGTTTGGATCATCCATTGGCAGCGGCGGCGGCACTTCTGATCTTTGTGCAGCCAACGGCAAAGGCCGCTACCGATGTTTCAGCATGTGAATCGCAAGAAGGAAGAGCTGATCATGAGTCAAAGGTACCACAAACGACAACCCCAACAAGCCCTAGCTCTAGTTCCCCTCTTCTGGATCAACAACAGGAATTAGATCTAGAACTAAGGCTTGGGACTACTCCAAAAGTTACATATGTGGCAATACACAAAGCTGGCTAGCTAGTACATACTTCTGCATGCTAATTATTAAGGAGATCGATTTATTTGGTCTTTTGAGTTTATCATATCAATACTCTTGCCCGGTTGTTCATCGCTTCGTCATTCCCCTGTTGATTTTGTTTCTCCTTTTTAATTTCTCCCCTTTAACTTTCTTGTGCTATGGGATCATACCGATTATTGCATTTTTTGTCCAAAGAGCTATATATACCTCTCCCTCTTTCAATTCAATCTCAACTGTTCTTCTTGTTTCGATACATAAGCAGTTATAAGGATATATATGTACATGTGGGAGGTTCACCTTTAATTTCTCTTGTCCAATTGATATTAATAGAAAGCTCTGATACAATTTTTCTCTGTTATTGCTGTTGTTTTCTTGTGTTCATACAGACCTGTGATGATCCTGATTTTGCTTCTATCATGCATATACACAAACCTTCATTGTGGAGAACTCGTAATTGCTGAAACATTTTCCTCACTAGCACGTTTCTTCATTAATTTTCATTTTTATTTTTGCTTGGTCTATAAATTATTTTTTTACTGCATGTATATATATGGAGCCTGATGGATGCATCTTTCCATTTTATATAAATAGGTCCCCTATATATTTTACCCAAACTAAGACTTGATCAGCTAGTAGATCAATATCCAAAGAGTTTTGTATATATAACTTAATCATAATTTTGTGTGAATACGGTCTTGATTAGCATGTTAGGTTTGCTTGCTTGAGCTACTCATCAAGATCACAAGCAGACAATAGTGAGTACAAACCGACAGAGTGCTCATCTGTTGTTTTCCTACAAACTTCCAATATGCTCATCATGGGGCATGGAACACAGAGGGAGGGAGAAGGGGGGATCGTCTCAGAATTATTGTTCCACATACAAATTGAGCACTGAAACAATTAACCTTTCCAGCCACTTAAGATTACATATATTACACGGCTCCTTCAATCCACACAATTATTTCATGATCTCTTAGAAAAGAAATGCAGACTACATATGCTTCTTTTCATTGCCAATTTTCTTGTATCATCGCACCACACTAGTATAGAAAAGATTTTTATATATTTATATACGCGCGCCTTCTTTTTCTAATAGAGGCGGTCCACTTAGAAAACCGTCCCTAAACATTGCGCTAGGCAGTGTAACTATACAACCATTGCTGAAAATCACTTTTCAGGGGTGGTTCCGTTAAAAAAAAACGCCTCCAGAAACGTATCCATTTCTAGGGGCGGTGCCGGTATTTCGAGTAAACACCAACGAGTAAATTTATGTTATTGCGCGTCTGACCCGGATGGTATGCTAAAAGACACAAGGTTTATTCTGGTTTGGGCAGAATGTTCCTACGCCCAGTTCGTGGTTGCTGCTCGTGTTATTAGCACTGAAAAGTTTGTAGTAGGGGTTACAAACAGTCGAGAGAGGGAAAGGTCCCAAGTCCCTGATGGAAAGGTCGAATGGGTGCTGAGAGCTTGGTCGCTGCTCAGCTATGTGTGATGTGATGCGTGGTCCCTTGAATCGATCCCTTAGTGGGGTGCCTTGCTGTCCCTTTTATAGGTTAAGGGAGAGCAGGGATTACAGATGGGAGAAAGAAGAAAAACCAGAGGCAAAGAAGGTCCTTCAAAGATACCGGGTATTCCTTTTCCTCTGTGCGAGCCCCGTTGACATGGCAGGCGGTGCTAGGGATAGCCCCACGCTGGGAGCACGTCCGCTGATCCTGTCATGTCCTGGCATGGTCAGCAAGTTATCATGTCCCATCCTGCCCCGGCGGGCGGCGCGGCGGACTAGGGTGCTGATCCACGGCCATACAGGGAGTAGGCAGTGCAGAGACCGCATGTCCGTTACTGTAGGTGATGCGAGTTTCCTCCTGGACCGTAGTGGTTGCCGTGAGCTTCCATCAGGATCCGCACCTGAGGGCAAATGGCGGCGCCCACAACACTGTAAGACAAATGTTGATGCCTACAACACTGTTCGGACTCTGACATGCTTGGAAGGGCTTAAAGTACCCTTCTTGTCACATCCTGATGGTACTTTCCTATAGGCGTGCAGGGTATGGTCCTCGGTATTACGGTTGACTTGAGTGCCCTGCCTTATCTGCGCTCGTAGTTATGAAGGAGCAGCGCGCAGACGTCGGGCGAGGCGGAGCCAGTCCCCAGACGTCGGGCGAGGTGGAGCCTGCCCTCGAGACATCGGGCGAGGCGGAGCCAGCCCTCAGACGTTGGGCGAGACAGAGTTTTCCCTCAGACGTCGGGCGAGGCGGAGCCAGTCCCCAGACGTCGGGCGTGGCGGAGCCTGCCCTCGGACATCGGGCGAGGCGAGCCAGCCCTCAGACATCGGGTGAGGCGAAGCCAGCTCTTAGACGTCGGGTGAGGTGGAGCTAGCCCTCGGGGGTCGGGCGAGACGGAGTTTGTCCTCAGACGTCGAGCGAGGCAGAGCCAGCCCTCGGATGTCGGACAAAATGGAGCCCGCAGCCTTGGTGGTTTGGATGAGATGGGACCCACTGGGAAATGTAGTTGCATTCTTGATCGCTCTAATGAATTAGCGTTGATGGGTATCAACTCCTCTTCTTCGGGTACCCTACTTTTGGTCCCCAACATTAGCCCCCAAGCCCCCGGGCGATTCGAGTAGAATCGTCTGGGGGATGTTTCGACTTGCGAGCAGGTGCGCGCGAGCACACCCGGTGGGTGTAGCCCCCGAGCCTGCGGAGGAGTAGAATACTCCTTCGGAGGTTTTTTTAAAAGGGAGGACTCTGTGGGCCTTGGCTTTCTCTTGTCGCCCACGGCGTGCCCTGGGGATGGTGATTCCCCTTTTGCCGAGGTCGGACCCTTCGTGAGTGTGGTCGTGAGTTTTGATGGTTGTTTAGCTGGATAGTTCGATTGGGGTCCCGGCATCCTGTTCATGGGGATTCAGCCAGGGTAAGATTCATTGAGACTCAATCGTGGGCCGATATGTCCATGGCGCTCGTGCGCCTAGGCGCTGGCCATTTGCGGGCCCAGCTCTTTCCACCCTTTGTAGGGGTGTTTAGAGCGGCTGTTGGACCTATTGATGGGCCAACCGTCGGACTCCTAGGCCTAGACAGGGCCGTAGATGCGCTTTTGATCTATATTCCTTTTAGTCGTAACGAGTCTCGGTCCGCCCAGGGAGGCAAAACGTCTGGCGATTTTCCCGCAGGAAAGGATAGGGATTGCATGCGCATATCCCACAACCTGATGTTGCAGCAGATCATAGTAGGCGTGGAGATCTAGGCAGACGGTTGGTTTCCTTGCATCCGTTGCCCCTATAAAACCAAAGGGTTCGCCTCTAGGGTTTTGTACTTTGCCTCCTTGCCTTCGCATCTGCAACCTCCGCTACCAATCACCTAAGCCCGCCGCATTCACGTCTTTGCTGCCATCGAGTTTGAATCCTCCCACCCCCACCTTCTAATGGAGCCATGGTGTCGCTCTGACATCACCCTCCAACACTTGGAAGGCCTTGTCCACCGCGGTCTTCTCTGCGTGCGGACCGCCGCCGAGGAGTGGCGGCTGCCCGGCGAGGTGGACGTGCCATCACCACCCGACGGCTATGTCATGTCCTTCGCTCACTTTCACGAGCGGGGATTCACCACCCCCACCCACAAGTTCGTTCGGGGGCTGCTGCACTACTACAAGGTAGAGCTGCAGCACCTTAACCCTAATGGAATCCAGCACATTGTGGCATTCATCGCCCTGTGTGAGAGATTCCTAGGGATTAGTCCCCACTTTGACCTATGGCGGTACTTCTTCGCCATCACCCTCCTGAAGAAGCGGGAGAAGAAGCAGGAGCTGAACACGGCGATGGGATGCGCCGGCATCCAGCTCCGCAACAACTGGGTCAGTGAGTACCCACTGATGCGTCGGTCGACCTCCAACAAGGGGTGGCATTCACATTGGTTCTACATCAAGAACGACGTAGCTGCCCCCTTGCTAGAGTTTAACGAGCCCCTCATCAAAGAGGTCCCAGAATCGTGGAGGAAGTGGGGAATCCCGGAGAAAGACAAGAAGAGGATCCGGGACCATCTCACCGCCATCCAAATCCTGAAGGAGAAGGGCATGAAGGGGTCGGGGATCATCAGCGCCTACTACACAAGGGGGGTGGCGTCGCTGATGAGGTGTGCGCTTCCCCTATATGCGATGGCGCCCGAGGCATCATTCAATGGGACGGTGCTCGCGAGGGAGTGCTCTCCCCCTCTGAAGTAGCGCAGCGCATCAAGGAGGCGATGGAGCCTCCTTGGGACAACGCCGGCGCTCTCCTTGAGTTCGTGTATTCGGTGCCGGGGCACCCTCCGATGCGGCCAGAGCTGGGGTACATCTTCTTCGTAAATTTCCTTTCCTCATGCCTCCTTTTTGACTGAACTCCCAACCCCTTGATGCCGATATTAAGATAGGGGGACCAGCCGAGGATTCATCCCCATGGACCACCCGGCTCCGCTGCCAAAGGACCCGTCCATGATGGTGGCCAACTGTGTCATGGCTGAGCGGCAGAGGAAGGCGAAGGAGGACGAGAGGAGGAAGAAGCAGCAGAAGCTACAGGGCATGGGAGCAAGGGGAGGACACGGATAGTGATGATGATGACGACAAGGAAGACAACGAGGTAGTTACCGACATCGAGTGGGATGACCTGGAGAGCGAGGATGCACTGACATCTATCCGCTAGTCCTTGTAGGGACCCTTCCCATTTCATGCATTGGGAGGTGCGTCCGTGAGGTTGGAGGAGGCGGGCTAGACCATCTGCACGTCCTCAGAACTAGCAGGGGCGGGCAGATTTGTCGCCGCGCCCAAGGTGCCAGCGGAGGGGGCTAGCCCTGCCGCCGCACCTCTAGAGCCAGTAGGGGTGGGCAGATCTTCCGCCGCGCCCGAGGTGCCATTGGACGGGGTGGCCTTGCTGCCGCGCCCCAAGAGCCAATCGGGGCAGGTGGATCTACCACCGTGCCCAAGGTGCCGATGGAGGGGGGTGGCTCTACCACCGCGCCCCCGGATGCAAGGGAGG